ACAGGAAAAGCCCCCACTTCACACATGCACCTGGTGAGAAACTCTGCCTTCACTATAGTCTGTGGGAACACCAGCCTGGAAGGATCATCCCTGGGTGCTCCACAGCATGTACAACCTGTGTGGGACCACTGCAGTGCATCTGGGACTACTGCTAGTAGTGGCAGGGAATTTAGTAGTCTCCCAACTGACTTAAAAAAAAAAAAAAAAACTTCTGGAAGACACCTAAACCAGAAAGAACAAAATAGGCACAAATAAAATTACACCTGGATCATTCAGACTCTGGATCCCAAGAGAGAAAGGTACTTTTATTGCTGGCACTATGGCAGGCATTCAGGAGTATCTGCGCTCCAGGATGGACAACCAGTATTTCATATGCACAGCAGGGAAGCTGAAATCTGTGGAGGTTTGTCGGTGAACACTAAAAGTAGATCTTACTATATTGTATTACATGATTTTATGTAAGTGTATGTGGGCATATGTGTGTGTGATGTTTGAATATATGTATATATTTTTTCCTTATAATTTTACGATCACATCCATTGCTTTCTTCTGCAGCACTTGTTTATTATTTAGCCTTGATATTTCTTAGGTGAGATTCAAGTATATATGAGTTAGAGTTGATTTGATCTTACAGTTACTTTGGTTCTGACCCTCTATCTTCCCTTCTTCACAGCCAACACCTCCTGTTTCAACTTCATCCCTTTCTTTGTTTTATTACATTCAGTTATTCTTTTGATCCTTCTTCCTACAGAGGACATCTACTACCATTTCCTGCCCTTTCTCTGAATATTTCAAACTTATTACCACATTTCCATGCTATTTTCACTTTATTTAAGAAACTACAATCCCACTGAATAATAGAATTATATACTTTATGCAACTCACACCTCATTCATGTTGAGGTAATTATTAATAGAGCGAATGACATAGTAGGCACTTAATGTCAAATGCTGGATTTAGCTGTTTTGTATTGCTGGTACTGATATTAATTGCTAACCCCACCTCTTCT